AAGACAGAAACCCAGAAAATGCAGGAGAAAATATGGGGAATATGTTTTTCTTTGTGTGCATTTATGTTTGTGTGTCCTGGGGCCCCTGCACCCAGGATGAGCACCCGCCCCGGGGAAGGGGTCGGCAGCCTGTGCTCGTGCCCGCGGGCTGAAAAGGCACGACGTCGGAGGCCCGGGCGCGGGCAGCGCACGAGGCTATCCCAACAGGGCCCACCCATGTCAATAGGCCGACCCGTGTGAATATTGGCCGAGAGGCCGGCACGGCAGCGCTCCGTTGCCTCATCCTGGGCGAGGGATGCTGCGCGCGTGACAGTGCATGCCCAGCCAACGTGCGCTGGGGCAAAAGAGACCACTGGACGAAGCGTCTGGTTGTGTGACTCTCGGAGGAGCCACCTCCCCTCTACCTCTCACCGCCCCAGGTGTCCGTCTCTCTTTCGTTCTCTCTCTCTCTCTCTCTATCTCTCTCTTTTTTTCTCTTTTTCGGTCTTTCTGCCTTCCTGTATTTCTCCAGCACCTGTCACCGTTTACACATCCATGTCCGTTGCGGTCATTTTGCTCATCTCTACTTCCGTAGCCTCGCCCTTCATCTCGCTCTCCCTCTCGGCTAGCTGTTATATTTGTCTCTCGCGCTTTATTTATTTCGCTCTCTCTCTCTCTCTCTGTCTCCCTCTCTCTCTTTCTCTCTTTCTCTCTCCCTCTTTCTCTTTTGTTTTCTCTTTTGTTGTGTCTCTCTCTCTCTCTCTCCACAGATTCCTTTGCTGGGCCTCGGCAACAAATCGGTCAGGAGGGCGGCCGAACGCCCCACCGTGGGTCCCAAGAGGCCCCAGACACCCACCAGACGACCGAAGACGGTCCAAAGAAGACCCCCAAGAGGCTTTCGAAACGCAGAAAAACAGTGATTTTCCAAGGTTTTGGCATGATTGTGGGAATGCCTTGTTCTTCGGTCTCTTGGGCGTCCGAGACCGCCTGGGAGGCCCGAAAATCGTCCCAAAATCATCCGAAAGGGTTTCCAGGCAGTCCAAGAGAGCCCCAAGACGGCACACCGGGGTTCCAAGATGGCCCTGAGGGAGCCCCATGGCGGCCCAAGATGTCCCCAAGACACCCTCCGAAGCATTCCAAATCGTGACCCGGTCGTTCAGGGAGACCGCGGTTGGAGGCAGGGTGGCCCGAGGAAGCCCCCAAAGGCCCCCAGATGACGCCCAGGAGGCTTCCAGAAGTCTTCAAGAAAGCTTTAAAAACTTCCATGAGACCCCCAGAGGCTCTCCAAAGAGGAGCCTCCGCAAAAATAGCTGAGGAGGATGGGGAAGAATTCGCATGGTAGGGCGAGAATGAGAAAAAGAAGCATGGAGGAAGAGGAAGGCTCATGAAAAACATTATCATAATGGCGATGCCGGAAAAAAGCAACAAGGAGTTATCGCTAAATTGTTTGTTTGACCTTCCTGCCCCTCCGTCTGCATGGTAAACTTCAAGGACGAAGGTGCATGGCGCGAAGCGCCAATGCAGTCTTGAACATATCTATACATATATACATATATATATATATATATGTCGTTCTCTCGCTCTCTCTTCCGTTCTCTCTTTCTCTCTCCCTCCCTCTCCCTCCCTCTATACATAGAGATGCACAAATGATCATTTATCAGTACCTCCCTTTTTGTCGCTGTCTTTTTCTCTCTGTTTCTCTCTCTCTCTCTCGCGCGCGCGCTGACGACGAAATCAGAACGAGGGAAGAGAGGACAATGAGAGGACCGAATGGGGTGGGCGAGGAAGATAATTCATGTGGCTCGCCGACCAGCAGCTCCCACTCAGTTTCAAAACATCTGGGCAAGTCTTACGTGCTGAGAGGCCAGGAACCGTCGCTTCGTTTCAAAGCAGAATAAGCAAATTTGGCCGAACAGTGCATGAATTAACCAGACAAGCGCCACCACTGCTTCGAACCTCGCTAAACCCCCAAACACGTTGGCAGCGTGTGCTGCTAGGAGTCCGCGGCTGCAACTCTACCCAGACAAAGTCTTAACATCTGTCGCCGCGTCTTGGCCTTGTCGGTCCGGTGCCTTCACTGGACTCTCGGCGAGCTTTCCCGGCCCCAACTACCCCTCTTTCGCTCCCTTTCTGCTTGTGTTACGTCGGGCGTGTCCCCCTACAGGGGGATGTTCGACGAAAAAAAGAAGTTCCCCCAAAACATATCCCGAAATGGCCAAAAAATATTCAGACAATAGTCCCCAGACTATGTTTTGACTACCCTTGCATGTCCCTCCTGTAGGCGGACAGGCCCGACTTGATGCCTGTGGCCGCCGGCCTCGGTTCGGAGCACCCCTGTGCCGCCCACGCGCCGGCTCCCCCGAAGCTGTTCCCTTGCCCACGCCCGCTGCGCTCGCCCGGCGCCGCGCAGCGTGGCGTGGCCACCCGCCCGGCGAAGTCGCGCGCAGCTTAGGGCATCGAGCTCTCTCTATGCACCGACGCATTTCCCGGCCCCTCCCCCCCCCCCCTCCTCCGAAAAGTTGTTCCCGTGTCCACGCCCGCCCGCTCGCCCGGCGTCGCGCAGCATGGCGTGGCCACCCGCCTGGCGACGTCGCGCGCACAGCTTAGGGCATCGAGCGCTCTATATATATATATATATATATATATAAAAGTGGCACGTGTGTGCCCAGGCTCATACAACAAGCTGAAGGGGCGTTTGAAGCAGGAGTGACATGCAACAGCGAAGTCGCACTCGAGCGCAAGTGGGGTTGCCACACCTTGCGATGTGTGTACCAGGGCCCCCCAGGAAGCCTCAGGAGGCCCGACTTGGATACCAGAAGAGGCTCCAGGAGGCCCCAGGATTGTGAGTGTGTGTGTGTGTGATGTGTGCTTTGTGTGGTGCGTGCTTTTTGTGTGTTGTCGGTGTGTGTGTGTGTATGTTATGTTTGTCTAGCGTGTGATGTGTTGGGCGTGATTTGTGTCTCTGTGTGTGCATGTAGTTCTGAAGCCCCAGGAGGCCCCAGGAGGCCCCAGGCGGCCTCAGCAGGCCCAGGAGAACTCCAGGAGGCTCCGAGGCGGGGTCTGGGGTACCAGAAGGTCCAGAAAGCCCCAGGAGGCCCCAGGAGGTTCCAGGAGGCCCCCAGGAGGCTCCGAGGAGGGGTCTGGGGCTCGATTTTGGGAGGATTTTTCATGCGAAACCGCCATTCTCTGAGAATCGGGGTCAAAATTATTGAAATTACCATGTGTTTTTGAAGGTTTTATGTTAAAATGTTGAAATTCCCATGTGTTTTTGGACCCTGACGTCACGATCTGCGTGAGGGGTGCCACCGATTTTCAGAATTTCGAGGATGTCCCGAGCGAAACGGCCAGAAAAATCGCGAACGACCTGCGCATTAATCGCCTCTGAGCTCTACTCCCTCGGAGAGGTGCGTATGAGAAATATATATATATATATATATATATATATACACCGACGCATCTCCCGGCCCTGCACTGACATGGGCACTGGAGGGCGGGTCCTGGTGTATACGGGACCCTGGTGTATACAGGCTTCGTTGTTTCCCCTGGGCATCGGGGAAACAAGGTATACACCACACCACCCCAGCGTCGTCCCCGATCCTCAAAAAGTCCTGGGATTGAAAAACAGCCCACCACTGGTAATGTATATGTTCCAGTTTCCGACAACTCGTGCCAGTTTGCGTCCCGTCCTGGCTTGGCTGTCGCTGTGGTGACGACGCTCGGCCGCCAGAGGTGAAAAGCGCGTGTCAGTGTGCCCGTGTGTTCGCGCGGTGCGACGCGTGGCCGCTCTTGCCTTTCTCGGCTCTCTTTCGCCGTCGGTCGGCCGTTTCCCCTCCCCTCCCTGGCGGGTTTTCCCTCCTGTGGTCGTTTCTGCGGTCGTCGCCGTGACTCGCGTCAGGCGCCTGGCATTAAGTCGGGCCGGTCCCTCTACAGGAGGGATATTCGAAAATAGTGAAAAAGTAGTCAGGGGGGGCGATTTGTTTGACCATTCTTGAGCATTTGGGGAGTATTTTTTGGAGTATCTTTAATTTTTCGCCCAAGATTCCCCTGTACGGGGACAGGCCCGACCTGAGCCTGGCAGGTCCTGCGCGGCTCGTTGGCCCTTCTCCCGCTGCCTGCGCTCTGCTCGCCTCGCCCCGCCCCTCCGCGGAGAACGACGCCGCCCTGTGGCTCGAGCGCGGGGGTCCGGCGTGCGAGTGCGAGGCTGGGCGTGTGCATGCTCGATAGCTCTGCGCGTACACCGCTGCCCAGATTCGCGCTGGTATCTACGCGGTACGTGTGCATCCGCGTGCGTGCAATTGTGCGTGTACGCATGCGCGTGTGTGCGCGTGTGTGTGTGTGTTTGTGTGTGTGTTTGTGTGTGTGTGTGTTTGTGTGTGTGTGTGCGTGTGTGTGTGCGTGCGTGCGTGCGTGCGTGCGTGCGTGCGTGCGTGCGTGCGTGCGTGCGTGCGTGCGTGCGTGCGTGCGTGCGTGCGTGCGTGCGTGCGTGCGTGCGTGCGTGCGTGCGTGCGTGCGTGCGTGCGTGCGTGCGTGCGTGTGTGTGTGTGTTTCTGTGTGCGACCCTTCGCCACTGCAGGCGAAGCCGCACACGTTCTGCGCGCGCACGCACACAATGTTGCATGCCAGCTGTCTGCTCACGAGTCTGTGCTTGCGTGCTCTCCTGGGGGTGCCGGGAGAGCGACGTAAACCAAAAGCGGGCCAGTCGCGCGGACGTTCAACGCGCAGGGTGCCATTCGTGCGCCCGTGCGTGAGCACCCTCCTCTCCGCACGGGGGTGCCGCGCTGTGGCGGCCCGCGAAGGCCCCCGGGTTAAGATCGCCGCGCCTTCTCGCGTGAGACCCCCTTTCTTGTCGTCGCCCTCCTCCGCCTCCTCCTCCTCCTCCTCCTCCTCCTCTCCTCCTCCTCCTCCTCCCCCTCCTCCTCCTCCTCCTCCTCCGCCTCCTCCTCCTCCTCCTCCTCCTCCTCCGCCTCCTCCTCCTCCTCCTCCATTTCACAGGCTGCAGTGTTATATATTGCAACTTCGACAGGCGGCTCCAGCGCGCCCCGCAGACGCGACGCGCCGGCTGTAGCGCGGGACCAAGGCCGCCTTCCGGCACCCGGCTGCCTTCTCTCTCGTGCGAGGTAGGGGCAGCACGCGTTTGTCTTCTGCCGGAGGTCCGCGGGAACCGTTCGTCTGTCTCCGTCTTTGACATCGCTTCGACGTTGCATTCTGCACGGAACCGTTCGTCTCCGTCTTTGGTATCGCTTCTGTTGCCTTCGGCATTTTCACTGAGGCCAACGGGCAGCAGCCTCGCCCAGCCTGGCGCCCGGATAGCTTTACATGCGGCCAGGATGGCGAAAGAATGGCAGGGGCAGTCAGCGAGGGCAAATGCAAGAAGAGGGAGATTCCTGGGCACGCCGTGCACTGGCATGGGAACCCATCGGAATGACGAGGCGGGCAGAGAGACCCGGGTCGAGATGGGTTGACATTCCATTCTCTTTTACAGTGCAGCAGTGTGTTGCGAAGAGACACGTGGAGCTGAGGCTCCGCCGCGCGCCCCGCTTCGGGACGGCCTCCGGGCCGGCACGCGCGAGAGTGAATTAGCGAGTGAGGGGCAGTCAGCGAGCTAACATGTCGGCTCCACCCGTCCGCTCCCCACTGTCCCTTCCCCTCGTTTCTGTGTGTTCCCCACCGCCCCATTCTCTTGTGACGACCACGTGTCCACTGTTGAGTCGGGCTCGTCCCTCTACAGGGGGAAGATTCAAAAAGAGTCAAAAGATAGTCGGAGCATTTTTGACCATTTTGGATTATTTTGGGGGTATTGTTTATTTTTCGTCGAAGATCCCCCTGTAGGGGGACACGCCCGACTTATGACAACCACGTGTCCACTGGTCCACTCCCAGCTGGCTGGCCTCCACGCGTGCAATCGTGATGGCTCTCCGTAAGACAGCGCAGTATACCGTTGCGGGCCGAAGGTCCACAGCCCTCCATGCTGAGCCACGGTGAGGCGACGTACTTCACGTGGGCCAGAACACCAGCTCCCGCGTCCAGGCGCTTTCTGTCTCCATTGCGAAGCGCAGCGGTGTCGCTAGCTCTGAGAGGTCCCCCATCGGCGTCTGCACTGAGAGCCTCAGGAGACCAACATTTCTGCCAACGCTCCGACGGGAAGGCGTGACCCGGAGTCATTATCGTTGGCTTGTTCTGAATAGGCAGCCCCAAGCGCAACTTCAGGCTTATACGGCTGATTCTTGCATGTAGGCTTTCCGATCTCGGCCGTGCGGTTCGGCTTAAGTTCAATTGCGGTCAGGAGAGTTTGCCTGTTTCAAGTTCGGGTGGGGTCGAGCCGCGTAGGACTTTGGCATTCTCGATTCGTTGACATGAGCCACACCGAATTGCTATTGCTGCGCGGTGGTTCGGCCTTTCTGGAAAGGGCCTCCTCGCTGATGGAGAGAGTGCTGACTTCTTTTCCCCTGACGGACGTCGCGACGGAAGTTTGGTGGAAGCCGTTTCAGGTCCACATTGGCGTCTCCAGGATTTCTGAAGCTTGCTCGCTCGATGCCGATTGCGATGGCGAATGCGACTGCAACAGCGATCATGATGTTGGTGGCGGTGATGCCAACCGCGATTGTGGTTATGATGATGACGGGCTCTGCCGCCCTCCTTGCCGACTGGCACAAAAAGTGACTCGCAGTGACTCGCCTCCCTCGCGCCTCTGGTGAAACAGCGATCCTCGGCGGCACTTCCGTGGCGGCTACTCGGTGCCTCCTAGAGGCACAACGCCATTCCGCAGACCACCATGATTAAATGTTTCGTTGCCATTCCCGCCTGGGGGCCCTCCAGGACTCACCACGAGCCGCCCATGCTGATGCACTCGTTCCTGCACCCCCATGCGCGTCTTGGCTCTAAGCGCCTCCTGAATGCAACGCATACCCGCCGAACACACACACACACACATACGCACGCACGCACGCACGCACGCACGCACGCACGCACGCACGCACGCACACACACACACACACACACACACACACACACACGCACACACACACACACGAGCGCACACACTAGCACCCACACACACAGCAGTAGACATACCCATATATGTATAGGTACGATATATATATATATATATCGTACCTATACATATATGCATGCATATTTCTAGTCATTTTTATAGGGCCGGGGACGCCAGAAAAAGCGCCCCCCCCCCCCTAACGAATTTGGCCCTCCACGGGCCTCCGAGCAACCCTTCAGGCGACCCGGGAGAACCTCACGAGAGCCCGAAGCCGGCCCCAGACGGGCTCCAGGCGTTTCGGCGCGCTCCCGAAAGGACCCCAGAGTGCCCCAATACGGTCCACGACGACCCTCAAAAAGCCGTCATGCCCCCAAAAATCGCTCCGAAACGTCCCAAGAGGCCTCCAAGAGCACTCCCAAGAAGGACCCAAGAGGCAATAATCATTGAATTTCTCATGGTTTTGGTGAATTTAGGGGTTATCCTCTTTTCGGCTTCCCGGACGCTCCAAGACGGCGGTCTTCTGGGCGTCC